TGATGTACTTTTAGTGGAACAGCTGCAAGTGACTCTGGCAGATACGAGGATGTTCTGGGGCATTTCAGATTTTGGTGACTCGATTCCAGACCAAATTGTCAAGGTATTCCAACTAAGTACAAGACCTGACCGACCGGGTATAGAGTAGATATGTAACCTATTGTACAATCTGTCTAGCCGAACAGAGTCCATGGACTACGCAAAACTGGTATACGTCATCTTCAAATGGAACTCAGTCGTGCAGAATCTAGCATTAGTTCGCAGGTACACAGCTGTCAGTCTTGACACTCCCGCATAAACGACAAGACCAGAAATCATGAGGCATGTCTTGTTCTCCGCACTTGACGCATGTCCAGCCCACAGACTGCTGAGGTTGTTCCATCGGACGAAGAAGCAGACACGCCATACATTGTAAAGCCAGCGGCTCGTTGATGAGCGTGCAACGCGGACAGCTCCACGAGTCTTCTGACAACGTGCGTCGCTTCGCTGTAGAGCCTACCCTGCTGACCATTGGGGAGGGCGGAGGTGTTCTGGTTTTTGACGCAGAGGCCGACCGTACAGAAGAGGGCTGCCGCATCCGCAGGCCAGCAGGCGAAGAGCTCTTGATCGTTCTGGCGGGAGGCCGCGATGTGCCTTTGCTAGGCTTCCTGGGGGAAGCTTGCACAATCTTAGATACGCCGCCCGTCGGAGTCGGCTCGTCGACAATGATTACATCCGAGTCAGAATCCGCTGTGAGATCTATGACTTCATCTTCTACGCTCTCACGAGCGGCCTTCTCGGCCTCTTTCCACGCGAGGTCACCAGAACCGCATGCTTTCTCGTCTCGCACCCTATGCTCTGCCGCCTACGATGATGTCAGTGTTGTGGTGTCGAACGAATGAGTGGCCTGAACTCACCTGAGCAGCCAGCTCGCGAGGGGTAAGGTCTCGACGCGGAGCACCTCCAAGGCGGCGTGCTCCGCCTAGCATGTTACCAATTCTTCGTCTCTTTTCAGCTGCTTCTAATGCCCGAGCACGGGCGATATGAGGGGGTAAGTCATGTGAGATGTTCTCGCCAAGGCGGCGACCTGGAGTGTGGAATCCTTCTCCAGCATACCCTGACCGCTTCAGAGCCTCATATTCGTCTTCGAGCTCGGACAAAAGTTTATAGAACTTCTCGTCATGAGGCCCGTGAACATTGTGCGTAAGCTGAGAGTCGCGTGAGGCAACGTGTAATCAATAGGTCGAGAGTGGACACGCACCTCGTGAAGCATGGTGTGGACTGCATCTTCTTCTTCATAGAAAGCGTCTGGGGAGTGTGCAGGTCTCAAACGGAGAAGGATCTTCTGACCTGCATTGATATCTAGTGGTGTTCCTCATCAGTGAAGAGGCCGTGGTTTCGTAAGGCTATAACTCACTGAGTCCTAGAACACTCGTCAGTGTGGCCACCTTCCCATGCCTTTTGAGCGAGGCAAATTACTCACCAACAAGATTAGGGGACTCTGGGAAGAACTCTGAGAGGACAGGGAGAACCCATTCGTGCTTCCGCATGATGGGCTTCACGAGGGAGGCCACCCGTTGCAGCATGGGCAGTGCGCGATCTGCATGCGGGCGGTCCTTGAGGTGCGTAAATGACTTGACGAACGTTTGTGACATGTGAAGTATCAAGCTGTCAAGTAGAGCAGTGCTGTTGTGGTTACTGAGGATGTTGGAAGCCAGAGACAGTGTGGTAGAGAGAGCTAAGTACGCGGCCAATCTGCCGAGCAGTGCCTGCTGCGTCTTACCTCAGCATGGCCGCGTGCCTCCTAGAAAGTGCGCCTCTGACCCAGACCCGGCGACTCACGACCGATAGACAGAGCCATTTCATGATCTGGCGAACGGAGACCGAGTATGAAAAGGGCGTGTACTATTGGTATTGCAACAAAATAGTCCTACGTGCTGGTCAATAAGTACGCTACAGTGGGATGGGCTACACTGGTGCATATGAACGGAAACTTGTACATGAATGCAGCGCAAGTGATTACAAATATGAAGATCACCATCACACTCAATCAAACAAAACAAGATGAGCTCAGACACTTGGAGTGTCCGGAGCCTTCTTGAAGGCGGGCAGCGGCACCAACGTAGGGACGCTCTTGTTTGGCTTGATCCCCTGAAAGACTCGTATGGTCCGTACGGGCAGCAGTTCGTGGCTGGCGAGCGGTCTGAGCAAGGCGTGCATCGAAGCCCACGGACGGGGCTGTGCAGTCGACTGGGCACGGCGTCGACTAAAGATGGTGCCGTGGGGGCCGAATTTCTGTTTAGTGGCGGAAGTCAGTTGTGGAGGCACATCTTCCTCGTCTGTACCAAAGGCGCGGTTTGGCCAGCCCAGACGAGTACGTTTGAACCTGACATAGGTATCAGCGACGCGACAGGTCACCACAATAGCACTCACTCATCGTAGAGGAGCATTAGGTGGTCGAACTCATCCTCGGACACAGTAGGTCCTCCGTGCCTCGCGTACTGCTCGCGAATGGAATGTGACAGTGCCTGCTTGCTGGACAGAACGAGATGCACATTCTTGCAAGCATGCATCTCGAGCACTTCCGGCTCGCACGGCACGAACACGTTGTTCGGAAGAACGACGAATCCCGGCGGCTGATATCTCTGAGACTTCGCGAAGGTTTCTTTGATGAGAGGGCTTGTGACCCACGGCACGGTCTCGCCAAGAACGCGCATAGCCTTTGGAAGGGTTCCTGTCGGGCGCGTGGTCGATCGTTCGTCGATACTAGGGCTGTCCTTCTGCGGCGTTTGCGATTGGGTGCCGGGATGGAGGCTGCTTTGCGCCACAGGCTGCAGCAACGACTGCTCAAAGATGGCATCGGTAGTGGGCAAGACAATCTCAAAATGATGCGTGCAGTTAGCCTTGTGTTCTCCGAAGACTTCGACCAGCATCTCCTTCAGGAATTTGTGCGGATGGGGATAGATCTTGTTCTCCTTAAGTATGCGCAAGAAGATAGTCTCCATGTCCTTCGCGTTCGTCGCTCGTTCTTTAAAGGTCAAAGGAGGCGGACCGTGGAACTCCCAGGGGTCAAAGCCAAGCTCGTCACTGATGCCTGCGACTGCGTGATTCAGAGCATGTCTACGGCCTCCAGAGTACGAGGCTGGTGAACGCTGCAAAGTGAGTCTCCCTGATTTAGGAGACTTGAAGTTGGGCGACGTAGGAGAGCGGCTAAAGGCGGGCCTAGTTATCTGAGGCGACGTCACGCCGTATCCAGCGTCGTCCGTGTCGTCTTCGGTGTCGTCAAAGAGGCTACCAATCGAGCGCTGCCTGACGTTCGGAGTATGCTGAGAAGGGATATCTGGAGGTGGTGGCTGAACCTCCGGAAAGAGGATCTCGTCGTCGATGAGTTCGAGCCGACCACCTGGCATGAGTATCCGCTTTATCTCCTTGAGAAGAGGGGGCCAGCATCCCAGTGGGATGGCGGACGATAGACATGACATACGAACGAAGTGGAAAGCCGCATCATTGAATGGCAACCTGTCTGTAAGGCTGTGAGGTTACATGGTGAGTTTGCACTTGTCATTGGAGTCAAGACATCGAATACATACAAGTTGCCCTGCTTCCAAGTGATGCGCGCAGCGACAGGAGGAGACATCCACTCGCGAGCCGGTCTACCGAGATCGACGATGTCAAACGCGGTAATGTGAACGTCTTTCCATCCAGCTGCTGTCTCTACGGCCCACAGACCACGACCGCAGCCCAAATCAAGTATCTCTAATGCTTCGTTGGGGTACATGACGAAGAGGTCGCGAAGGTTGTGAAATGTTGGAGACTCTTCAAGTTTCAACTGGCTCAGCAGTTCGTGGGTGTAATAGTCACTGAGAAGAAATCAGTGTTCCAGCGGCAGTAGATGCATATCTTAAGCCCACCTTTGGAGAGATATATCAGAGTACGACTGTATGTATGACACCGCATCGCGGGCGAGGGGATGGTGGTGCGTAATGCCTTCAACTGCGAGCTGCACAGGTTCACGAAGCTTCAAGTCCGAATCTTCGAGTACCAGCGAGCTGATTGAACTGCGTTTAGATTCGGCCTCAGAGTCGCCACATAGCGCGAGTTGTTGTGCCGCCGCCGGCGTCCATGGTGGCGATTCCGACTTCACCGACTCGTCGGATTCGCAACTTCCATAGAGGTCGGGGGTGGGTGGCCCCCTGTGCGACAGGCTCGAGTCCGGGCGTGGAGGAAGGGGCTTATCAATATTTGGGACACAGAGGGAACTAGGCGCTGCTGCCTGCGTGCTATCGGTCGACATCTTGCGCGGAGCGGCACCGAGAGCTTCGACATCCAGACTGTTGCCAAATGCCTCGTTTACACGGGGAGATGAAATAATGCTGGGTCGCCGCATATCGCCGGATAAGAAGCCTTGCGAAGAAGGGGAAGAAGCGAAAAAATAAGAAGTATCGCGCGAAACGGTTGGTTGCCAGAGGCGAGATGTATTGGCGTCCCGAGAAGAAAGTGGTTGAAGAAGCGGGCCGTGTTGTGTGGCTTTGTTCATGATGCACACGAGTGCAAGATTTCTGGTAGCTTAACGTGACGAGGACAAAGAACAAAGGACAAAGACGTGACCTTGCATATGCCAAACGTGAAGATGGCTGGCACGAGGACCGTAGGTCAGATATGTATAGTCAGGGTGGGGTAGCCGAGCACCCATGGAGTCTGTCAGCACCAACATCCTCAAAATTTGGCTGACCACTGGACGCGCTCCCATTTCCAACAAGGCAAATCGGCCAACGTCTGCCAACACGTTCAGATGACCGCGTAGTTCGACATTCCACCAAGCAATGGCGTCCCACTCAAGCTTTGCAACAAGCACCTGAAGTTTGGACCACTGTGAGGTCGCCTCTCGGCTGAACCGAAATGGAATTAGGGCGAGCAGACATACATCGAGCCACATCACGAGCACGGACCAAAACAGAATTCTACGAAAGCCGCCGGAGTGCTTGAGTCCTCACAAAGAAAGAAGGCACATAGATGTGGAACATTAGTCGTCTTTGGCAGGAGGGGGGCCGCATGGCTGCAGCATACGCTATAGGCAAAGCTCAGACCAGATTCCCGCGACATCTGCGACGAGCACGCACTTCGGTCATTTCAAACTTAACGCGCCCAATAGCTTCTCCGTCAGCAATAGCCAGGTAAGACATCAATGGAGGATGGCCGACGATCGAAGAGAGCGTGTCACGGTGTTGGTGGGTCAACCATTCGCTAAGGAGGTAATCAATGGTTGACACTGCAAGAAATCGAGCTGTGACTTACTATTTAGTCAAGTCGGCGTGTCCTTGAGCACATGTGAGCTTCAGTACATGTTAAGTAGCACGCAGCTCAAGCATCACGCACCAGTACCCGTATACCGAGCATGAACTGACGAAGTAGATCAGTAAAGCGCTTGAACGAGTACATCCAAAAGCTACTCACGATGCTCTAGTTGCGTATTCGCTGTGTACCTGAGTTCAGAAGACTGTGAAAGACGTAGGCATGATTATTCTGAAAGTGGCATGGTGGACGTACCATGGTAAAGTTGTGCTCCGCCGCAAGCGCGCTTGCTTCTCGCGCTTGTCCTTCGACCTTCGTGTACAACCTTCGTCGTTCCGGTCTCGCGAGATAATACTCGCTCTTTGAACTACTAATAGAGGTTTTGGGATCATTTCGCGAAATGTCAGCGAGCACCAGCAAGGTCTCCGCTAAAATACGGGCTTTAGATGCCTCTCTGGACGAGCTCGAAGCGAAACTAGAGCCCTTGTTCGCGCAAACACTGCCAGAGGCAGTGGTCGGCTTGGAGAAGATCCAGCAAGCAAAGCTGCAGGTCGCACTGCCTTACCTGGTGTACGACCTGATTTTCAGTGCGTCGATCACGCCTTTATACAGAACACAGGTCTCAAGTGTCTTTGCCGAAGTCTATCTCAAGACAAGAGGGGTGGACCCTAAGACTCATCATGTTGTTCAAGAATTGGTATGTCTCCATGTTCTAAACTAGTACTTTACCGACATGTACTGGTAGGACCGAGTGCGCCAGTACTTCGACAAGATAAAAAATGCAGAAGACCCAACGAAGCGTACGTCTTGTGGTCACAATTTACAAACTTATCAGTTACGAAGATTAAAAAAACATCTACAGAGAGAATGGCCATTGACAAGGGGGTGGCAAACCGATTTATCAAGCATGCCATAGCACAGGTGAAAGTTGGAAGACCCCCAGGTCAAGACGAAGGGACATCCATTCAGCGCAACGACGTCCGTGTGCCTGTAAAGATCACTAGTAAAATGGTCGCTCGTGCTGAATACGAAAAAGAGCTGAAGGACATGGACGATGAGGAAGAAGACGACCTGAAGGTGATCGACGATGCCGAAAGCGACGCGTCCGGGAAGAGCAGCAACCCGAGAAAGAGCAAGGGTAAACAACGCGCTACCGATGAAGTTGCCATTGTTGTGGATCCCGCAGCCGGTCAAAAACGCCAACGACTAATAGCAGATCCATTCGCTGGTAAGCGATTCACCAGGATCCCAGTTTACCAATATGAATGATCTCTCTAGGTTATGACGATGAGTCTGAGGATCCCCCAGCGAAAAGAAGTGCGAAGTCGTCCCCCACCGTTAGTGACATTGATACGCCAGGCACCTCTAGGTCTGGCACCCCGCAAACAGGGTCCGACGCGACTTCTGCTAAGACGAAGAAGCGCACTGCACAGAAAAAAGCACGGAAGAAAGCCAAGCAGGTGGCGGCTATGAACGCATGCACCGCGAGCTAACCCGTTCTGTACCTTTCTGCTCAGGCTACGCCTGATTATGCTTGCTTATCGGACGTTCCATCTCGACTCAAGGCACCTGTCTCTTCGTAGCACTGTATCCGAGCACTGGATTATTGCGATTCTACGCCCTTTGAGCAATTAATGTCTCAGCACAAACCTTGCCCACTGGTGTCCTGGCTGACGTCGGTGAGGTTAGTGAATGAGTAAGCGTGGGAAACAGGATGATATGTCCGAGTCGCCTGACCGGCCCTCCGCGGGGTGGTGCTCGGCTGTGGTCAGACAGTATTCGATCTCACATTTGCAGACGGCTCTGCTCGCCTCCTGACGCGGACGACTATCATGCTAACCTCGACCGACGCTGTCTCGCCGCTCGCCTGACCCACTCGGCCTAATTTGCATGTTTCGCCACATCCTTCTGCTCTGCTTCCTTGACCTCACTACCTATCGCTGCGTCTTCTCGGCCTGATTTCACTCCCTCTCGCCATGAGCCATACGCGCGGCATCGATAACGGCGGTCCGTTGTTCGATTTTGATTGTAATGAACGTTTCGAGCCGCTTTCGCTCCTCGAGGATTCCGCAAGGGGGGCCGGAACGCCCTACTTATTGACCTCAGACCACATTGTTCGAGCTCGCTTTGACCTCGACAATACCCCGCTGTTCAGGGCAATGAGCGCGCCGACTGCTCCAGAAGCGAAAGGCAAGCGAGCTGCAGTCGCCGCAGTCTCCGAGCCAATGTCTATTCCACTGACGGGGGACGCTCGGCGTGAGCCAGACGTCTTCTCCCTGTCTTTTGCGGGATCGAGCTCTTCTGGTTCTAGGTACGATTCCCGATTATCCTACGCTTTTCCTCCATCGCAGCCCGCTGTCTTGGGCGATGTAGAAGGCATCATCCACGTCCCTGCAGATGAGGAGCTTGATGAAGCAGCCGCTGAGAAGGGCAAAGGTCGAGAGCTCCCTCCTACTCTCCCACCACTGTCCTTTTCCTCCACGCGCTTTTCATACGAGACAGAATGGTCGTCGATGGCGGGTTCGTCATCCTACGGCTCGAGCTATTCGTCGATGAGCGGTGCCAAATCGAGTTCCGAGTCGGCATCGCCTGTGGGTAGGGCGTCCAACGGCGCGAGTGCTCCGAGCACACCGGCATTGCTACAGGCCTCCGATACGGGAGCGTCGCGCCGGCGCACCATCTCCAGTGTATCACGTCATTCATTGCGATCGCTGTCGACGCCTTCACTGCCGAAGATGAAGGTCAAGTTCGCGACCTCTAAGGGGGCACCGGGCACCTTGGCTCGCAAGCTCTTGTTTAAGAAGAGCCCTCCGACTGGTCCTCGAGCACTCTCTGCTGACCTAGACAACATCGTTGTCGACCCTTCGGTCACTGCAGACCTCACGAATTTGCAGTATCTAGGTCCCGGCAGCTGCGTCGTACCATGGTCTCGCGACGTGCAATCGCGCAGTCCTCTGGCTTCTCCCATTGTCGAGACAAACTCCGTCTGGGGAGTAGTTGATTCTCAGCGAAGCACGCGGAGTGCGGTCCCTATGCGCACGAAGGGCCGCGCATATTCGTCTCCTTTACCACTGCCTACCTTCAACTTCGACGACATCGTTCCGCTGGCACCTGCGGACCTTTACGAGGAACCGACAAAGGAGAATGATTCCTATTTTGAGGATCTCCTGCCGCACGAGCTGAAGCTCCAGATTCTCCTCTCAGTCGTCGACCTTCATCAAACAGATTTTGAGAAACGCACTGCAGACGGCAAGTGGACAGTGCACAAGGCATCGTCTTCACGCCACAAGTGGATCGGCAGAGAAAAGGGCATCAGGGAGCTGTTCAGACTGAGCAGGGTAGGTATATACCGAACACCATTTTTGCGCAACTAATGATACTATCTTTCCTAGGTCTCTCGCTCGTGGCGGCAACTGGTGCTTGACGGACAGCTCTGGTCGAAGCTGGATCTTCGCTCTTTCCCCAAGCTCCCATCGGATGTCGTTGTCCAGCTCGCTCAATCTGCCGGTGGATTCGCAAGAGGCCTTGACCTTTCCGGTCATGGTGCCCTTTGCCCTTCGACTTTCATAGACATCTCCCAACACCTTGCTGTGCAACCCGCGCTTTCTGGTGCTGGCCTCCCTCACACCAACTTGACCCATATCAGCCTCCAAGGGTGCTATTCGCTCACAACTCGATCGCTACATCATATTCTCCTTCGTTCCCCTCGTCTTCAGAGGCTGTACCTCCGGGGACAGCTCGCGGTAACAAACGCGACAGTTGAGGTCTTAGCGGCTCACTGTCCTCGGCTTGTTGCCTTGGATCTGAGTAGGTGCCACAGCTTGGATGCAGAAGGCATTCGTTTTGCTGCTGCGGCAGCAGTCGGACGAGGGGAGCGAATCAATCTGAAGGAGCTGAGATTGTCCGGTTTGAAAGGTGTTAACGACGACATGATGACTGCACTCGGTCGCGCGGCTCCATTCCTCGAGGTGCTCGACCTAAGCTACACGACGGTTCACAACTCCGCTATCGAGGCTTTCGTTGCCTGCAACGAAAGAGACTCGGCCACTCTTCGGGCTGTTCACCTCAGTGCCCGCGAAGCAGGTCGCGACCCTTCCGACCCGAACCGGTACTGGCGCCGGGTTACCAGCCTGCGTCACCTTAACCTCTCCTCCTGCGTTCTCCTCACCGACCATGCATGTTCGCACCTCGCGCACGCCGTGCCCAAGCTCGAGTTCCTCGAACTTGCCGGCATTGGCCCCGAGCTCCGCGACGACGGTCTCGTGCGCCTCCTGAACACAACCCCCTACATCCGTCGACTCGATCTCGAGGACGCCACGGAGGTCACGGATGCGGTCCTGCAGGCCCTCACGCCTTCACCGCCTCCCACCTCTCCACCCCGCGGTGCGCCACCTCTAACCCCTGAGCCTGGTCACGCGCTCGCACACCTGGTGCTCTCGTACGCCAGCGTGGAGAGCGATGCGCTCACGGAGCTCATCCGCCTATGCCCGCGGCTGCGCACGCTTGAGGCGGACAACACGCGCATGACCGGCCTCGTGCTCCGCGAGTTCGTGCAGACGATGCGCAGCCGCAAGGCGCACGACGCGAAGGTCGTCGTCATCGACTGTCGCAGCGTCAGCGAGCATACCATCAAGGAGCTCGCGCCGCAGACGCGGCCGAGGATGGGCTGGCGGTCGTGGCATGCGCGCAAGCTCGCGTACCTCGACGGCCGCGACGACGAAGGCCTTAGTGTCGGGCAGGACGAATGCGATACCGCCCGTGTCGTCGTCAAGTCGTTTTATTCGTGGCAGACCGTCGACGCTGTCAAGGCTGCGCGAGAGAAGAAGCGGCTTGCGGGCTCGAGACGAGCCAACAACACATCAGGGAATAGTTCCATTTCGGAGCCCGTGTCTCCTTCTCCCGTGCGCGCCCGCTGGTGGTCTCCAAGCGGGCGGAGGTCGAGTGGACCTGCGACGCCAACACTACTGGATAATGCTGATCGCAGTGAGGGTTGTACGATAATGTAATTTCGTTCGTGGACGTGTATAATATTGTAAGTGCTATTGCCCTGGCTGACCACTGTATTCTCGACATCCTCTTCCCAATTGTGTATCTCTCTCCGATCCCTCACCTGTATAGATTTCGTCTCGAGTAAATAGTTACTTTGTTGTTTGTTTACGAACCCAACAATGATCAGTGATGTCAACGGTCGAATGAAATTAGCAATAGTATACAGCATCATAAGCACGTACGCCACGGAAAACAGGAACACGCTTGGAACCAGATAGGATGAGACAACTAGCAAGAATGCCAACTGTTCAGTCGAAAGAAGTCAAGGCGGGAGAAAAGGCGCGAGTAGATATCCCTTCTCGGAGAAAATGGCGGGGGTCTGTGCGCGGGCTAGACGCGACGGCAATGACGCACAGGGTCACGCTGCTGCCTTTTCCTTCTGCTTGTTCCAGTTGTCAATCACCATCTTGAACCTGGTGGGAGCGTGGTGAGTGCATGTATGCGGGGCAGAGCGCGGGTGGCAGACGCGCACCTTTCCTTGTTGTCAAGCTCGGGCTTTTCCTCTTTGAGGCGGGCGGTCTCGGTCTGCATGAATTTGTTGAAGGGCGTGAGCTTTTTCCTGCCTCCTGAGGCCGAGGCGCGGCCTGCAACACGCGTGTGTGAGTTCGGGACACGTCGGAGGAGGGGCAGAATAGGGGTACTCACGCTTCTTGGTCTGCGCGGTCGCGCCACCGTTGGCGGTCTTGGTGGTCGTGGTCACCATGCTGGTTGTGCAGGGCTGTGGTGGGGGCGGTCAGCGACGTCCTGGCAACGGCGGGCGAGGCGGGCGTACCTCTGGCTGGATGACGGCAAGGGGTGTTTCGGCGGGAGATGGTGGGAGGAGGGAGAGAAAAGGCGAGACATGTTGAGGGGTGACTTCCTTATAGCCTAAGCGCGACGCTGAACGAGTGACAGCAGCTCGCCCAAATCAACGTCAACCCCGATAGAGTCCCCTTCCGTCATCAGGACCTCGAGCACTGCAGACCGCGCTGGGCGAGAGGAGCCACGCGGGCTGCCCCTGGGGTCCTCGCCCGTGAGAGTGTTGTCACCGTTGCCAAACAAACGCGTCGCGTCGACGTCACGTCACAGAGGCCTAGACCCGTCTCCGCAGAGCGCGTGACACGTCGAAATATTCGAATCCATACAGACACACACGACCGACGTCTAGATACCGACCTCGGATGGGCCTGCAGCGACCGCCCCGCCGTCTGCCAGACTCTCCACCATGCTCTTCCCGCTCACGATCCCCGTCGTCGCCACCAGTATCCTTCGACCTGTGCGTCGCCCGACCTTAGTCCAGCTCAAACGGCGTCAGGGCACACGCACCAATATTCTGCCTCCCAACCCACCGGAGCGCGGCGATCTCCGTATATGTGCATCCTCCCAAGAAGAAGACCACCGTCGTCGTCGACTGTTCCTTCGGAAGCACTGCACAGCAGCCGTCCCTGGATGAGCAACACCCTGATGTCGCACACGACACATGCAGATCACTCACGCAGGGTAGAAACAGCAGGCCCTGCCCCGTCCTGCGAGCCTGGGATCTTCTGCACAATGTCGACCGCCGCGCCCGGGATGGTGGCGACCACGTCTTCAAAGCCCTTCCAGCCCACGATTGGGTGGGCCTGGACCTTCGGCGGAGCTGCATCCTTCCCCTTTCCAGCCTTGGTGTCGTCACCGGCAACCTTCTTGTCTTTCTCCCCAGCGGGGTTGCTCAGAACACCCCCCTTCTGGGCCACGCACTGGATCAACCGAACGCTAATGGGTGCGTACCCGGAGTACACGTAGCTAATGTCGTTCTCGAGCTCTTCCAGTGGGTCCGCATCTTCGATGAGGAGGCGTAGCTGCTTCCGCAGGTTCGTGTATGGGTACTTTGACGCCGCGACAGACGGCGGCGCGGACGTCGGTAGAGGGCTGGGCAACAGTGCCGACAAAGGCGGGGATGCTAGCGTAAGCAGCAGGGGGAGGTAGTTATATCCATATGCTTGCAGTATCTCTCGTTTGATGTTCTCAAGTACTTTCGCCTTGATACCACCGGTCACGATGCTAGCAAGACATAACAGCCTTAGGACGGTCTGTATGTCCGCCTCCTGAGTTATTAGCTCCTCGATCGCGGAGATTTGGCCGTTGATATCGTAGGACGCAAGGAGGTCTGTACTGTGAGGGTCAGCGAGCTGAGGGGCCAACAGGGAATATGCGTACTCTGTTGGATCTCGAGCGATCTGTTGAAGATGTCTGTCCTCGTATGAGGGACCAGCATCTCCGATAACCCAGTATCTGCGCCGGATCAGTGATTCTTCTAATACGAAGGACTCTCCTCAACCCACGGAGTCTCAAGGTTTGGTGCTCGCTCTGTAGGCCCCCAAGCTTTCCGACAAAGTCTTTTATCTGCGCCACAGTCTTCGCCTGATGCCTGAGCTACCGACATGTCAGACAAGCGTACTCCGCCATGCGGACCTGAAATACCTTGTAGTCTTCGTCCAACCGTCTCGCCACCTGATTGAGCTTCTTGCCCACAGCAGAGAAGTTCAGATCGCGGAGCTCTCCAAGTAGCGGATCAGTCGCCGTCGTCAGGTGGTGTTTCTTCTTCTTCTCTCGCGCTAGCGAAGTGCCTGCTTGGGGTTGGGGTGTCGTCGAAGATCCTGCAGCTTGGTTTGGAGCGCCGGGCGTAGTCAAAAGCGATACCGGGAGCTCGACATGCGCTACATGCGAGCATGTTGTCTAGCTCATTGCCAGCAAAGGCAGATTATGTACTCACAATTCCTAATCCCGATGACTTCGTCGATGAGACCCTCGTATGTCAGCTGTGTGAGCAAAGGAGTGATCATATCCACTCTCCGGTCGATGATTATCAGTGAATCCAACTTGTCTGACATTGTTCCTAGCATGTTGTTTGCATTGTCCGGTGTACTCGTCTCGAGATTTTTTGATAGTAATTTGGCTAGTCGCTGGACCATCAAGTCAGCTTAATTTCTCCGAGAAAATTGTGTACACATACTGAAGCATGGTCACCCTTTGCAATTACTCGAGGGAAGACACCGTATAAACTTTGCATGGTCATGAACGCGAGCATGGAATTATATAACACAGTCTCATCACCGTCCTGGATATGTAATCAGTTCGGTCAGCAACCCTTTGCTGAGTACACGTACTGCCCAGATCTCCCTGAATGCGCTATCATGTTCGAGCGACACGACATCTTCCGCGAGAGGGATAAACTGCAGATTGTACGCGGAGACTGTGATTTCGCCAAGTACCCCCTCCTCTTCCAATATACGAGACACAAGCGTTGATGTCCGCGGGACCAAGAACAGAGTATAGTTGTGCTTCTGACCCTCCCGGGTATGCCGTTTAATCTGGTCTTGCACATGCCGTCACGCTCCGTTTGGAAGTTAAGGTGGAATTGGACTTACCTGCTATGATTCTCACGAAGTTGATCTTTGGCCGGCAAAGATACACTACGTTTGTAGTGGTTGCGGAGAGCGGACCAGGCTCTAGCCAGAACATCTTGTCTACACCATGATGCTACGATGCTTCCATGGTCATTCTTATGCGTCCAATACAAGCGTATGTGCACTGCGTACCTTTAGCAAGGCTACTTCCGTGATGAGTCCTAGTGGTCCAGCCAAAGAATTATCCAGAACAAGTGTCTTCACGCCATTAACCTATGCCCTCACAAATGAGTATGCCGCGAATTCCTTCCGCTGCCATTACGCACAGAGTTGAGCGCATCAACCAGAGCTTTTCTCGCGAGCTCCTTCAGCACTGTAATATCCAGCGGCTGCTCTTCAACTTTTGTCTGTCTCGATGTCTGAACAGTATCCTGTGAGGTGGACGTCGACGCGACTGGGGCAGCAGCCATGACGGCGATGACTGCGAGAGCGCACCGGGCGCTCGTACAGTACGCTTTATGGGCGTCTCCCGCCATCGCGGGTCTGCTCAACGTTTCGCTTCCCCCATCCACACAGGCACATAAGGCCCCGTTCAATATGTTCATCTTCAGGACGAGCGGGCGGTGCATAAATCGGTATGTTTCCCTGGCACCTCTACTTAGCCCATTCGCGTTGCTCTGAAGGAGTCTTCCATAGCGGACTGTCTCACTTGCCACTCAGGCTTGCACATGGTTCACATACGTCTGCAGTACCCAACACTGCGCCGAATCTGAGGCGGCTGTTATCTTCAGCCCCGACCGTTGCGAGCCTGGAAGCGCGACACTCCGAGGATCGTGGACCAGCCGCAATTTTTTCTAGACCATTCTTTCCCGGTCGCGCGTCGGGTAGCCTCGGTGCAGCCTATAGGGGTGCATCCCTCACCAGGTTTCCGCCCCTGGCCAGCGACCCACTGCCTGCCGATCAATCAAATTGTTCTAGTACGCTAGCCTCATAAAACGAGGTGGCTTATCTCTGCGCTTTCTCTTAGCTCTCGACGTCGCCCTCGGTGCCTACTACTTCGGCGCTCACCGACTCGTCAACTATGGCTCCCAGTCTCCATGCAAAATCTCGCCCGTCATCGCCCCATTCGCGGCACTCCTCGCGCAGGTCCTCTGCGGTACCCCAGGAACAGCACCGCGATTTTGTCTATGCTCACGGCTCGAAGCTCCACGCATACAGCAAAGGGAGTGCGTCTTACCCATTCTCATACAACAGAGAAGTGATGGAGCTGTTCGTGCATACCTCGTGACGCATCTTATACGCCCGGAATATTGAAGTCAACTATCCTGCAGAAATATGTTGGATCGCGCTCTCGTCTACAGGACGAAATCCGGATGCACATTCACGGAGTACAAAGAAAATACGCCGAAGCGATGCCTTGACCTCGGGTGCGGGGTATGTGATTTCCCCATACATGGTTATGGTCTCCTGACGCGCCTCGTAGACCGGAAGCTGGGCCGTCGATGCTGCCAAGTTGTGGAAGGATTGCACGTTCGTAAGCCTGCCTTCTTTCTACAGCTGTGTAACTTCTGACATGCCGCACTAGGTCGGTTTCGACCTTGTGGATATCCAATTCAACCTTGAGTATGTTGAACCGTCAGTAGCGAAGCGTATACAATGGATGCACGGAAACTTGTGAGTACGCCTTGTGTTCGTAACGTGCTTTATATCTAATTGTGGACCCGCAGCTTCGATCAGTTACCCTTTGAAGACAATGAATTCGATCACGTTCACCTTTTCACAATTGCGCTTGCAGTCCCAGAAGATAAAGTACGCAGACTATCCCCTCTGTGCGTAGCGGACGTTCACAGCCTTAATACACGCAGTGGCACCATCTGTTTGGCGTGCGTAGGTCCTCTTTTCGGGGACAGGCATCTCCCTTATGTTACGCAGGAAATCAACCGCATCCTGAAACCCGGCGGACATGTTGAACAAACCGAAGAAGGTCTTCTAAACCTTAAATATGAACTCCGGGCCCTGCTTACACCTCTCTCAGATGCTAGGTTTCCAACATTGCCGCGATGGTTCACTCGGCCACTCCATAATGCGGTGAAACGGGCCTCACACAAAAACAATGCAGAAATTATGTCACCTATGAAGTACTACGAGATCCCTATGGATCTGCCCCACGACCATGCGCTTTTGGAACAGCTGTTCTACTCGGTATTTGAGAGCCGATTCATTAACCCAAAACCTAGCTGTGAGCCAACGCCAAACTCCCGTGTATATAGCTTCATTAACTGGTTTTCACGCAGCTATCTTGCCTAGCTACTTCTCCGCCACATTTAAGCATGTTGTTTCACCGCCAATTCTATATTTCCCGATGCCTCCGCTTGCGCCTTTACCGCCATTCCCGCGCGAAACGATTTTACCCTCACGAGCCGCAATGCCTCCTACAGCGCACCTCGACACCGGTCAGTTGTCACAAAACTCGAGTGTCTCGCCAAGTCCGCTCTCCGCGTCGACCACGTTGGCGCACCTAAGCTTCGGCACACGAACATCGGAGGCGACCTCAGTATCATCCTCATCAGGGCCACCATCAGCATCTCAACTTCCTGGCCTCGAACGCATCGACTTGGTTTCGACCGTAGGCTCGAGCGAAGAGTCAGTCCACTCTAAGACCGGGTCCTTGCTGCCAACTTTGCTGCCTATCGAGAAGGTGAATGTTTTACCCGCACTCGCGAAGGTGGGAGAGACCGTTCACATCGGCGGCGAGGCAGCGTACGAGCTATTCGGCATGGAAGCTCTTGCGGAGCTCGACGAGCACACGTTGTTCCTCCATCTTCGGCGCGCCGTCGGGTTCGTCTATGCCGCTAAGGAGGCTATGTGGGATGAACTGAAGGCACTCATTGCACAAGGGCCAAGCGCATTGGCATCGTACGGCTGGGAGGAGGGTGAATATACCGAAGAAGCGAGCCGCGAGCGGCTCGACGCAATGTTCGAGAGATACAAAGCGTAAGCGCCCTATCACCTCCGTGTTATTTTTTGACTGACTGTCTCGTGTAGGGATATACATGCAAGAGTGGCATTGTGGCATCCAATGATGCAGTATGGTTGGACATATCCTAGACAGGATCCCATGACAGAGACTGAAATGGCAGATTAGGAGCAGCTGAGGAGATCTATTCTGGAGGCCAGGACACTAGCTAAAGAGGAAGATATCCAGCCAACACTTTGTGTCATTAGATTGCTTGTAGGCAGGAAGGATCACTGATGTTGTATTCATGCAGCTGTGTTTTGCCCTGTCGGGCAGTAACTCACTCGGCGGACGCATTATGCTCTCCCACACTTTGAAGTCATAAACTGGGAATGATGAAGGGAGAAAAGGGGGGCTGGCAGGGCAACTACTCTTGAAGGAGAAAGATGTTACCTGTTGCGCAAAGTGTGACTAAAATGTGTGTACACGGAGGCCTGAAGGCAATGACATTGTGATGAGAGCAAGGGGGACAACACCAGGGTGTGGTTGCATGAATCTGAGAGGATGCAAGAACAATGTGAATACATGGCTCAAAGGGGGATAGCATCAAGGTTCAAAATTTAAATAGGAAGAGGGCATCATAAGCAAAAAAAAAGGTGGTTGGTGTGGCCACCAAAAAAAATCCTATGACCCTTACAAAAGTGGAGAGGGGGCAAAGACAGAGGGAAGACTCAAGGTGACATGCCACATCAATAGAGGTAGTCAGAGGCAGCAGAGGAGATATAGAGCTAGAAGCATATATATTCATCAGTAATATAGGTGAAGTAACCAAAGATGAGCACCAAGACCAAAAATGATACAGAAGCAAGGAACTTACTGATAGGCAGGGCCGTGTGCTGCACTTCCCGGAATAGCTTGGTCGCTCACTGTGTGGTTGAGTAGCTGGTGAGTGTGTTCAACGCAGCACATCTTCGGGCACTTACGCAGTGGCCGCTTTTGGCCATAAGCCGCGCCGAAGCCTCCTTGGCGGCCTGTTTGGACGGGCCTTGCGCGATGAACATCGGCAAATGTTCATCTCTCCCTAAGTGCCAGTTTAGTTCTCAGCATCGCCTCGCTCAACATATCAATCTTATGGCAATGCGAGAACTTACAAATAGGATATGCCTCCCAAAGGGGTACGTGCTCTAGACCCCCAGCTCTCTCGCAGTTCCATTCGATGGCCCCACGGGCCCATTCATTAACTTGCGGCAAGTAGCCGCGTCCGCCCTGATCTGGGTCCTCGAAGCTTCGAGTCCCTAGACGGTCGCAGAATCCAGCTATTGCTGGTGCCGGCGAAGGCAGCGGCCCGTTCAAGTTCTTGTCCATATCCGTGTATTGATTTTGTAGTAACTGTACAGAAGGGTTGGTAGTTGCACTGACGGACCATTCCTCCTTGAGGGCATGCCCTTTATACAAAGGACGTGAGTTGACACTGGGACCCGCACAGCCACATCCGAATATGCCCTATAGCCCATACGGCTGTGTGATGATGCTAACTGACAGCCAAACACCAGATTGAGAGGAGTGACGATCAGTAAATAGATAGCGAGGGACCCTAGGACAGCCATCCACGGCTGAGAAACTCTCGCATGAATCATTTGAGCTGTACATGTCCATTGTAACCCAGACTCGAATCAGATAGAATTACGCCGTGCACTGCGGCCCTTGGTTCGAGCCGCTAGTGGTATGTTCTTTTCACCCACATATGCCGAAGGAAGACATCCTTCTTCTTCCCACTTCTCCAATATCTCCATCGCCGCATGGTAGCCTCGTTTCTGAATCTCCTCGAACTTGCCGAATTGCAATGTACCAAACTGCATAGCCGTCCGGTCAGCATCGGGCCCAGAGATGTAGTAAGCGGAAAGGGCGCACCTCCTGCACAGGCATCTGCATGTACAAACAGCCGCGCGCGACCTTGGCTTCCTCAAGAGTTTTGATGCTCGATACACTGAACAGAGACGTCAGCATGTTGCAATATATGCTGAGTAAGAAAACGTACTAGGCGAGCCTACTTTGGATCTCAGTGATAGCGGGCACGCTTCGCGCGCTCGAGAAAGGATTCCAACGGTTGGCCAATAACCACCATCCGGAGACCGAATCCCCAAAATTTCGTGGCGGGTTGTCTTCGATCTGCGAAACGGTCAGACGACTGCTGCGGACAGCTTCGTATTACTACGCACGGAGCCTACGTCGGAGGCAATGACTGCGCTCGCACCCATCGACATCATGGTCGAGACCTGAAACAAAGTTAGCACTAGTAGAACACGCTGGATGAACGTGTCATACTGGAAGGTTGTCCACTGGGAACAGAAGCTGTTAGCGGACCTATGGCGAGGTTCGTGAATGAAGCTCACGATATCCTCCATCGACAAGCATATTCCCACTGTCACATATCGGTGGTAGCAGACCCACAAGGGTCATCGACGCTCCTGTGGAGAGGCGTTGTCAGCACTGTCATACACCGAGCAGCCGTAAGTACATACGGATGAACCGCCACGCATAGCCCGTCTCGTGAATCTCCATAGTCGAGGTATTGATATTCGTCGAGTTACAGAAATAGGGGAGCCACATGTCTTCGATGTGAAGATCATAGAATGCCTTGGGACATCGGGTTCAGTAAAACGGACGGAAGGACAGATACCAGAGCGGACCTTGTAGATGGAACGATTGAATTCATGGCCCTAAAGTGAGAATATCAGGGCTGCGCGAGATAACAGGAACTAGGGTGCTTACGGTAGTGTAGGCCACCATGGGGTATGTGACATCGGACAGGATGCGCCAGATGTTCCCCATTCGTCCGCTGAATTGCTTCACACGGGCTGCGCTCGAGTAAAGATCGCCTTCTCGTGCATATAGTCCTCCGACAAATGCGCCGATACTTGTGCCTATACCCACGTCAGGCTTTGCACAAGAAGATAGGACGGCATCGCTGTACCTCCAATATGGTCCACTGGTATGCCATATTCCTCCAGCGCCCGCAGGACGCCCTGGGATGCGTCAGCACCGCTCCACGAAGCATCTCCGAACAGAAACTTACCAGGTGGGAGATGCCACGAGCACCGCCTCCGCCGAGTATGACTCCAATCGATCTCCCACATATCCGACGAGCAAGGCGAGCGAAGTCGTTTGTGTGCGGACCTCGCTGCGGCCGAGGGTCGGCTGAGCCCCCTCGATAGCGCTGTATGCCGCTTTGAACCCTGTCCTTGAGGTTCTTCAATGCAGTCACTGCGGCAGGATCTTGCGGGAGAGGTGTCGTACGTGATACTGAAACAATGATACCCTGGGATTCGTTGTGTTTCTGAGCTCATTTGACCTGCACTTTCGTTGCATGACTCACAGGAAGCTCCACGTGTAGATGTTGGTGGACCCACGGACGGTTCTATCGACGAGTTGTCAGTAACCTCCCCCAGCCCGTCTCACCATCCCCACTGACATACCTTCAGCCACGCACGAGTAGATCCTGGCACCACAGTTCGGTCAGGATGAAGAAGAACTAGCTCCTTCCTCGCAGTCGTCTTCATGGATAGCAGTAATCTCTCGTACTCTCCTAGCGTGGGGTCTTCACCCGCTCCAACCACCACCACGTAGTCCGCCTATGCATTCAGTCAGCGATGGGCACAGTAAAGCCCGGCTGGTACGCACTTGTCGAATGCATGTCTGCGTCCATGCACTACTGACAGCCGAGTCTGCGACGTAAAGCACGATACGATACTTTTGCTCTTGCTCCGCCAGCCACCCCGCCGCCTTCAATTTGCCCATGCGCGTGAAAGCATGTCTACCAAGATGGTCTGACACAGATGACTGGTTGAGGTAGAAAGTGGGAGCACCGATACTTTCGAGCGCAGCATAGAGCTTGCGGCCGAAGGCTTCGATGGGGACGTTGCGAGAAGACGGTATGATGGCGACTGTCTTCAGATTGCTGTTGCTACGGGAGGACTCAAGGGGTACGTTTCTCGTTGAAAAGTCGACTTCAGTCCTAACGCGAGACGCTATCGTGCGCAGAAGCCTGAATACGATGTCAGCAGCCATCGTCAACCGATACGGGAGACATACGCACTGTGCAGTTGTAGCTGGATGTCTGGAGGAGATTGCATTGAATAGTGTTTGTGGCATGCGTATGAGCTCGGTGTCTCGGATAGCGTGTAGTGTATTCCGCCTGGGGGAACTGGTGATGACGTCAAGCTCGCCAACCGTATCACCCTGACCATACTCAGCAAGGATGGTTACGCCGCCGCCCTCCTTCTCAGAGATAACTCGTAGACGGCCGTTAATTACGATGTAGAAGCTGTCGCTGACATCGTCAGGGCGCCAGAGAACCTGCCCTGCGTTGACTTGCACCCAGTCGAGAGAGCCGTCAATGTGCAACACTACGGGCAGTGAGTACAAGCGCATATTCCACATCTGTGTGACGTACCGAGAGGGGAGAGCAGTGAAATCAAACGCTTCGCCAATGTAAGCAGAACTATGGGCCTCTTTTCGAGCAACCTCTCCAATGCATTCGCGGGAAGGAAGCCAACGTAAGTGTCGGTCTTGGCCTTAATGTCCACGTAAGACGCGGTGTTGCACAATGAGGCTGAGAGGCTATAAGCGCAAGGACAAAATGAGGGAAATCTCACGCACAAAGATATCCTGCAATCCCACCGGGCTTGACAGTGAACAGAGGCTTCGGCAGGTCCTTGGGGGAGGGACCCTTGGGAGTCCGTGAAGTGGCATGTTTCTCGAAAGCGGGCGATTCCGTTTTCACCGAGGAGGGGCGAATCTCGCTTTGACGCGTGAGCTTCGGTTCCGACGCACCAGGTCCGGTAGGCTCAGGTAGAAGGATTTCCAAGAAGCCCTCGATCACATAAAAAAGTCCTGGGCGCTGTCAGTCTCGTTTGGCGTACTTCGAGTAAGCAAAACACACCGGTATTTCTCTGGCCAGCTTTGGCCAAGAGGGAGCCGGCAGGGAAAAACAAGATTTCTACTTCGTTGTCCAATCCACTGAGGTAGCCATCATCTCTGCCGGACGAAGACCCGGTCACGCTTGAAGAAGCATCATCGACCATCTCCAATAGCGACAAAGACCCGAACGAGGTACCAAATACCCCGCTGCGCGAGCGGCCTGCATCACTAGGGGGGAAAGCAGGAGACGCCTCCACAGACTCTTCGCCGCTCAAAGGGGGCTGCAAGAGGCCAATCGACTTCGCGATACAGGACATGACTTCGTCCCTAAGGTCAAATTCGTCTTTGGACAGACGTTGTACTCCATGCATGCTGCTGAGAGATGCGGACGGCGTCGGAAGAGGGGTGAATAGCGAGCTTCGTGAGCGTAAATGTGGTCTCATCGTGTCGGTAGAAGGGTCCGCAGAACTCAGCAGGTCGCCTGGCTGGACGTGCTGACGCGCTGTATTTCTTCTGGACGGTGTGGCTGTAGACCTCTTTCTGGAACTGTTATTGGTCGACTTGCTTGGCTCTTCCGATGTTTTGAGATCATCGCTGATGGAGGATTCGGACGAATTCTTGGACGAAGACGGATAACTGAAGTAGTCGCTATCCGCCTCCTCGTCGGGGGTCGATGCTAAAACACCGTCAAAGCGCTGACGCAGGTGCTTTAGACCGCCACCTTCGTAAAATGAAGGAGGGAGGGGATGGCATGCTATATCATTGATGGCCTTTTCGGTACGGAGAACCTCGGTAGTCAAGCCCAAATAGTTATGAGCGGCGTTGAATGTTACGCGAGAGAAGCGCGTCAAGATCACTGTGGGGACTTTAGCGCATGTATTATAGAGCTAAAGCAACAAATTGACCTTGCACGATATGAGCGGCCGCCTTGGGGAACTTCTTCGTGAGTCTCCTGAACGCCTCCGCGGGAATAACGGCAAGAGTACTGTCCTCCGTAGCTCTTGCGACTACTCCATAGGAACTGTGATTTGGATTGCTAGGGACGGGTCTCCGTCTAACTTGTGCTGTGGATGTCGTCCGATTCGATGTGGAAGACAGGCCAGAGACCGACGGCCCTTGAGACACAGACCGATGTCGTGACGGAAAATGCGGAGAGGACACGCCCACAGGATGAACAGTCGACCCAGAAGATGAGACTGAAGCCCCGCGCCCACGAGCCCGCGGCGACATGGCATCGGGTGAAGCGCGACGCTGTTTCGCCACGTAGTCCAGGTGCATCGTCGAAACGTCCGAATCAGAACGGTGTGGCCTCACGCGTACAGGAGGGCGCACAGAACTCCTCTCGCCGCTCACGACCGAATCTGCGTCAGTGTCCGCATGTGGGTCCTCGAGGGCCTCGTCATCTTGCCAGCTGATTTTGACGTTCTCGGTAAAGAGGCTCAGGATGGTAAATAGACTTGAGAGCGTGCCGCCGGTGCCAACTTCGTTCAAGAGCTGGTAGCCATTCATATCTTCATCGTCCCAAGATCCGCTACGCTGTCCATCGACGTGATTTCCCGTGCGCGCGAAAAGTTGCACAGTGCCATCGACCACGCAATAAAAACTCTTGTCTTGATCCAGCGAGATACTGTCACCAGCGATGAGTCGACGCGTCTGGAGGTGCCTAGCCAGCTCGTGGAACACCTTCTCTGAAGGTCAATCCGGAGGACTAGACGTGACAACAGCGGAAATCATACTGGCTTCTCCAAAAACCCGAATACTCGAACGGCTTGCAGGAACTCGTCCAGGTAGTTGTGGAATGCGGGCGCCGACTCTGGAGTATTGACATCGGGATGCAACTCCTGCGCATCGGCCTTGACGAGCGGTGGTTCCTTCAGCTTCGTATATATGTTCAGGTATCGGAATCGTATCCAGTAGTTCAGTGCCACCAATGAGAGACCGAACATGATGGCAAACGACCAGAAGTTAAGCTGAACGAGAATCCAGCTTTCTGTCAATGAGCATGGGGTGGGACTATTTGGACTTACGGTTAGTGTCATGGAATAGGAAAGCACCGCATATATGAACCTAGGGACAGATATAGTGGCAAACGCAACGAGTAGCTTTACCCACGACAACAGCCAAACTGGCCGTCAGTGAGGATTAGCGGATGCTCTCGAGTAAGTTATTGCTGCACTTACGAACGACCCAGAAGAACGACGAAAGGAATATAATGAGGGGATGCCCATCGTTATTTCCTGCAACCTCTATAACGCCCTCCATCGTGGTATGTTACGAGCAGTGTCCAAGAGATGCCAGAGATGTACCAAAGTGCTTGCTGGGGTGCTATATACGCTTTGCAGACATCCAGGAGCGCTGGGAGCAGATAGACAGGCGTCGCTAGATTCGTCCTAGTACGTAAGGCTACACTTGGGCTGTACTGGGACGTAAGATACGGAGAGGGATGGGAGAAACGTGCGTGGTGAGCGTTCGAGAGGAAGAGTCCTCCGACGCGCCTCCCCAGGCGGGTCCGCGGTCATTCACGTCTGGCGCCCACGCGTTGATGCGCGTGCGTATATACCCTTCTTGGACTCAGCTTCGGGCACGAGGTCCTAGTAATACCGCTCGAGATGCCTTCGGCCGGTAATTGCTATCACTTGCGTAGCTCCAAGAACATTGCAACAAATATATGTAAAATAGAAATAGAGTGCACTATCTTCATTCCGAGCCAAAAGGGTATGACCGTTTAAGGCCCCGAGCGTCCAACTTCCCATCGCCCGTGTCTGTCTGCTGCCTGTCCCTACCATCTTTCTTGTTCTCTTCCTTATTTAAGAGTCTCTCTGTGTCAGCCAGAACCTTTAACGCCTCAGGCGCACTCGCATTCGGCTCACACTCGTACTTTTCCTTCAAGCTCTTGACCTTATCCTGAATCGCGGCCTTCTGAACGGACGTGGACCTCCACCGTGGCAGTTTGCGCAGCTCGTCACTGTTGGGGTCGCCCCTCGAGACGAGTCCATGCCCATGCAGGCGACTGGGGTGATCCGGCGGGGTGCCAACCGTCGGCGCCGTTCCGTACGTCTTCTGCGCCTCTTCCCACTTGTGCAAAAGCCGCGGCATGTGGCACCGAATGATCGAGACCATGGCCGTTGCAAATCGCCAGATGCCCATAGGACTCTTCAGGTCGTACTGGACGGCATTGCGATCGCAGACGGTGATGACGGAATCCGTACCGTCGCCACTGGGTGGCGTCGCGTATGCGTAATCGAGGAGGAGGATCGGTCCGTCGGACCTCAAGCCAAACACGGGGAAATCGGTGATGCCGCAGACCTGGAGAAATTTCACGCTCGCCACGAGGTCGATGTAGTGCTGGTTCGCCACCTGTTCTGCATCACCTCCCTCCTTCTTCCACTCGGCAATGAGCACGGGAAGCTGGAGGAGGTCGGCGGTAACGGACTTGGGTTTGGCGAAAGTCTCCTTGTCCTTGTTGGCTGAGTCGTCTGCCTTCTGTCTAAGCCTGGTAGGATGTTTGCTGGGCATAATGTCCGGTGGACGGTAGTGGGTCGCTTGGGTTTTCACGAAGAATGCATCTTCCCCGGACGTGGCGTCTGATGCCCGCTTCATAGCGGGCCCTGAAGACGTGCCGATCAGTGCGAAATCTTGGAGAAGTCCGGACGAGACCCCGAGCACAGGGACACGAAAAGATGCGATTGCATCACAGATCGCCCTCTCCCTAATCAGAGTGGCCCGGCGGAGAATGTGATAGTCATTGAGATCACGGGTCCACTGGAAAACACGAGAGAGCATCGCCTGTGCGGACGTAAGCTCGTGCAGCACAGTGTCAGTCGATTCCGGGTACATGGGACCCATTCTTGCTGTCAACTCCGCCACAACATCAAAGGGGGCGTGCTTGTCAGCCGCTTTCACAAGTCGCTTTCCCCACTCCGCCACTGAGGGTTTGTCCACGCCAGAAAGGTACTGGGACAGCGCCATGCTTTCCGGAAGCCTCAGGGTGCACTCTAGCCTAAAAGGTGTCCCGATGTCACCGCCCAAGGAAATAGAGACATGAATAAGTGACGCAGAACTTACCGCTCGTTACCGTGACCTTCAGCCGCATCGGGGCGAAAAGCTATGTCTGTTTGGAATTCTTGGTCCTTGTGGGTGAACGTGTGCAAGAGCAGCGCGTTAACGGGCACTCGCCATGTCGCTTCATTTACGTGATCCCCGGGAAGTTGCTTCAATTTGATGGCTCGTATCATGGCGTATGTCTCCAGGATCTGAAGAAGCATAAGGTGAAGAAACGGCTCGATCTCGACCTCGCCTGGTAGCTGGGTTCTCTTGTCGAGATTCTTTACAAGATCAGGGTTCTGTTTCTGATAGGTGACAATAGTAGTAAATATATCTTCGAAATCTTTGATGAGGGATGCGTCGAGGTGAATGTCACAGTCTTCGGACAGAGCCCATTGTGACCTCTCCTCGTCCTACTCACAGATGAGTCCTGCATGCCACTACCAGGTGAATCAAACTCACATATGTTAACCACTCTTCTGGCCAGTAAATTTGTGTATAACGACGGAAAATGTCCCAATGATGGTGGTTCGAGGCGGCTGACCCAGTAATTACGAACCGGTCAAACAACCAGTGCATCACGAGGCAGTTGTCTTTATGCTTTGGAGACATCTTTGCGCACCTGAAAGGTAACAGACATTGATAACGTAGCTGTACGATAAAGTATAACATTTACGCAGACACTGATAGCTGAGACTTTTGGCCGAGGAAGCTAAAGCTGTCATCCTTCGACTTGAACTCGCTTGATCTTTGAATTTTGATGCCAATCGCTGGCTTCGGCTCAATTGTGACATTCTAAAGCGCAGTGTTAGACAAGGTGCAATTAGTTATAGGAGGTTGCGTGCAATGAATGCCGTGTTTTCTCTAGCTCAACCTCAGGTTCCATCTCCTTACTCACATTTGAGGGCGAGCTACTAGATATGGGTCAGCACTTTGTATCGTGATGTCGCAGGATAGTTGTTGGCACCTTAAAGCGTTATGAGTCTGCTTGTCGCTAGCGGAAAATGCGGCTTTAGCATGTCACCTGCAAGAAACTAAGTAAGGACATACAGAGCTCGATGTCCCAGTTGTTTTTCAATGTCTGCCGTCCTCAACATTGGGGTGGGCTTGGTGCCGGTGGGTGACATTTTGGGTAGGGTGACACCTTCAAGCCAACGCGTGATTCTGCTATCTGGATCGTCGGAAGGGTATAGGGAGCCAAATGTGTCTGTCCTCCATTGTTCCTGGAGCGGTATATAGCTCTCCAAAATCGACCGGTTTGATGCCGCACACTGCCGGAGATGCTGCACAAGGCCCCTTAGTTGAAGAATTGCCCAAAAAGCCGAAAACACATCGCCCGGGTCACAAAGATCTAAGGTCATTTGCTCGCACAAGTGAATCTCCGACTAATAGATATCACATCCTAAATTAGAGAAATCTCCACATCCAGTAGATATGACTCACATATGCTTCATCTTTTGGGTCTTTTTGATACCAGCCGATGACGAAGGAGATCGTGGGCGAGTAGGGACTGTACTGGATGCCAACCATGGGATGTGGCAGGCCCCAGGTTCGGCGCTGATGGAGGACGGCTGACATAGCGACAGGGAGGTCCGGCGCCCTTGCCATGCACAAGATCGGAATTTTGCAGATTTTTCTTCTGGCCCATGGCTTCCAGCGATTGTATACGTGGGCCGACGAAGGAGGATCTACGTCGTCGTCTGAAGCCGATGAGCACGCCGAACGGGTCGTCTTCTTAACCTCGAGTAGCGTTGTCTCTGGGACCGCGCCGCGTTGGTGTCCTGATTCGAAGATGTCTTCGTCACCCACGCAGATTGCGGCGGTCAGTGGTATCCGCAGTGCGGACCAAACATGATGTATGGCGGGATGCACCCCAGGTATACGGGGCACGGCGAACCACGAGTCGCATCTGCATCCCTGTCTCAGCCTGTGTACCTGAGGCTCCAAAACAATGACGCACTCTAAGAGGACCTCGCGGTCCATGTAGATGCAAGCCGACATGATAGAGTAGACGACGGACGTCGCAAGGTCTGGAGAAAGCGAGTCGTCCGAGCCCAATGAACCCTGAGAGCGAATCAAGTGGCATGCACGAAGTGCGGCGCTGAATACATGTGCTATATCGTCTCTGTTTGCCAAATTCGAAGGAGTGGACATAGTGCCGGGAGGCAGCTCCGCTAGCAGATAATGCAAATGCTCGTCTACTTCGGGGTATGACCCCTTAAATCGCATATTAATATAGATAGTACACCGAAGAGGGATCTACACATACGTCTCCGCTTATCGCAGGAATCTGGAGCAGGATATCACGCAGTTCGCGTGCTCCATCAGGCCAAGCCACGTCATTTTCCTCCGGAAAATGGTACAAGATACCGCGACATATTTCTTGAGTCAAGATGTTGCGACTAACCATGGACGATCGGACGAACCGAGGCTGGTAGTGCAAACAGAATATTGGAGTATGCGGCAAGAGAGTTACAAAGGAAAGGGGTTCCGACAACGCCTCCGCCCTTTGTGGCGCTTGATCGCATCAACCGGTAAACTGCACGGACTCGGTCGCGGGTTGGGAGAAAGCCCGACGTGCTTCAAACGGGTCCTCCAGAAACTCGCTGGCCCACTCATAATAGGTGTCGAAAGGCATGGCACGACTGGGATCATCACTTGGGCGTCGACCCTTCGGAACGCATGTCACCTTGCCCAAGAGAAAGTGAACGGCACCCCTGCAGCCTCTTGAGCACAAGAACGTAAAGCCTATGTTCATGCGTCAAGAATACAATCAGAGCGA